AATCCCAGTTTGTAGGATCACCAAGGAAAACAAGGCCCAACAACTTTTAAGTTAAAATACATTTAAAATACATTTAATTTGTTCAATGTCATAAATAGCAACAGGCAAAGATGTTTCTACCTTGCCTTTGACAATGATCTCTTTAGTTTTAGTCAAATTAATCTTCATATGATTATTATTTGCTCATTCCAAAATATTATTATAACTTCCTGACAAGAATGGTCATACTCCTGGTTAACTAAAGTACTAAGGGGCAAATCATTGGCATACTTCACAAGTATACAGTCTTTTGACTAAACGTTGTCGTTGATCGGATCATCCCTACTCTCCTAGACCGAAAAGGATACAGAGAATACAGTGGATACACTAGGATACACTGAATACACTTAGGGATACACTGGATACACTAGGATACACTGGATACAGTAGATACACTGGATACACTGGATACACTGGATACACTAGGATACAGAGAATACAGTGGATACAGTGGATACACTGAATACACTAGGATCCAGTGGATACACTAGGATACACTGAATACACTAGGATACACTGGATACACTAGGATACACTGGATTCAGCGGATACACTGGATACACTGGATACACTGGATACAGTGGATACAGTGGATACAGTAGATACACTGGATACACTAGGATACAATGGATACACTGGATACACTAGGATACATTGGATACACTGGATACACTAGGATACATTGGATACACTGGATACAGTAGATACACTGGATATACTAGGATACAGAGAATACAGTGGATACAGTGGATACACTAGGATACACTGAATAAACTAGGATACACTGGATACACTAGGATACAGTGGATACAGTGGATACAGTGGATACAGTGGATACAGTAGATACACTGGATACTCTAGGATACACTGGATACACTGGATACACTAGGATACACTGGATACACTGGATACAGTAGATACACTAGGATACACTGGATACACTAGGATACACTGGATTCAGCGGATACACTGGATACAGTGGATACACTAAGATACACTAGGTTACACTAAGATACAATGGATGCAGTGGATACACTGGATACACTAGGATACACTGGATGCAGTAGATACACTGGATACACTAGGATACAGAGAATACAGTGGATACACTAGGATACAGTGGATACAGTGGATACACTAGGATACAGTGGATACACTAGGATACACTAGGATACACTAGGATACACTAGGATACACTGGATACATTGGATACACTGAATACACTAGGATATACTGGATACAGTGGATACAGTGGATACAGTGGATACAGTGGATACAGTAGATACAGTAGATACACTGGATACACTGGATACACTTAGGATACACTAGGATACACTAGGATACACTAGGATACACTGGATACATTGGATACACTAGGATACACTGAATACACTAAGATACAGTGGATACAGTGGATACAGTGGATACAGTGGATACAGTGGATACAGTGGATACACTGGATACTCTAGGATACACTGGATACACTGGATACACTAGGATACACTGGATTCAGCGGATACACTGGATACAGTGGATACACTAAGATACACTAGGATACACTAAGATACAATGGATACACTGGATACACTGGATACACTGGATACACTGGATACACTGGATACACTGGATACACTAGGATACAGAGAATACAGTGGATACAGTGGATACACTAGGATACACTGAATACACTAGGATACACTGGATACACTGGATACACTAGGATACAGTGGATACAGCGGATACACTGGATACAGCGGATACAGTGAATACACTGGATACACTGGATACATTAGATACACTGAATACACTAAGATACAGTGGATACAGTGGATACAGTGGATATAGTGGATACACTGGATACACTGGATACACTAGGATACAGTGGATACAGTGGATACACTGGATACACTAGGATACAGAGAATACACTAGGATACACTGGATACAGTAGATACAGTGGATACACTGGATACACTAGGATACAAAGAATACAATGGATACAGTGGATACACTAGGATCCAGTGGATACACTAGGATATAGAGGACACACTAAGATACACTGGATTCAGTGGATACACTGGATTCAGTGGATACACTGGATTCAGTGGTTACACTGGATACACTGGATGCAGTGGATACACTGAATACACTAGGATACAGTGGATACACTGGATACAGTGGATACACTGAATACACTAGGATACACTGGATACACTGGATACAGTGGATACAGTAGATACACTGGATACACTGGATACACTGGATACACTAAGATACACTAGGTTACACTAAGATACAGTGGATACACTGGATACAGTGGATACACTGAATACACTAGGATACAGAGAATACAGAGGATACAGTGGATACACTAGGATAGAGTGGATACACTAGGATACAGTGGATACACTAGGATACAGTGGATACACTGGATACACTAGGATACACTGGATACAGTAGATACAGTGGATACACTGGATATGCTAGGATACAGAGAATACAATGGATACAGTGGATACACTAGGATACAGTGAGAGAGCGTCATCATGCACGATAACATAAAACACACCGCCAGGACATTATAATCAGGCATACATGAAGTACTCACCCTAATTTCAGTCAACAATCAAGAAAAGATCAAAGCGTTTTCTCAGACCCTGAGATCTCGCCAAGAAAGAATACTACTATCAAAGCAACAAGTCAGGAATGGCCTCCACAGATGAAACTATCAGACGATGAGGAGGAAGTAGAAAAGAAGCTATCGCTATCTGCAAATGTTGAAACATTGTGGAGTGTAAATTCCAAGTGTGATGAATGGTTGAATCGATGGATTCAGGGAAACCATGGAAATTACACACAAGAACTTTAAATTTATACATTATTGTACCATCTTATGTATTCGTGCTTTATATATACAAAACATTATATACTGAATAGATATAAATACGTTCTTTTATACAAGACACGTCCATGCAATTTATATGATTTTTTAATATGAGAAACGTGTCACTTGCACATGTTGGTTCAGAGGCAGGATTATGAATTTTTTAACAGTTCACTTCAGACAAAATCTTTTCTTCTGGGGTTCTAGAAGTCACCAAAAGCTCTATGGTTTCCAAAGGTTTCTTAAAGTGTCCCTAATGCCTGATTACAGACCAATTTAGAACAAATCCTCACATTGTCATAAACACGTTTTGTTCAAATTTTTTTTTTTCGTTTCAAACGAATTCCTGATTTTTTACGGCACGAAAAAGTTGGCAAAATTCTCGTGTCCACTCACTCTCGAAATTTCACTACCGCGTTCGAGGAGCCTGAAAAATTGTATAGAGTTACGTCATCGGGGTGATACACCAATTTTTTTGTGGGTCAAGAGTGCTTTTTTTAAAAGTTTTAAGAAAAAAAAAAAAAAAGCCGAAATATTGAGCTTTTACTTATTGTACGAGTGAATCCACCTTGGAAGAATGCGCAAGTCTTTCACTTTTGGAACGTATCACCCCGATGGCGTAATCGCATCAGTCCCCCTTACGCGCGGTCCTTATATGAAAAGGTGCGTTTTCAAAACTCATTTAAAAATCAGGAATGCATCCAATTTCAAAAAAAATTTGGATTTTCATGAACATATCTTCAACTTAAATAAGGTCTGTGATTAGGCATTAGGGTACCTTTAAGCCGAACACTGTCCGAAAATGTTTCGTTTTCGTACTTGCGCCTGCGATATTTGTGAATGCGGTCGGGCATCTCAGAAATCGTCTATATTTATATAACTTCAAAACAGAACCCGGCCAAACTTGTTATTGTGATTATTCATTGGAAAGCGAATATAGAAAATATTAAGGGATTTCACCCAAGTTGTAATCACATGCCTTTTGAAACTTGACCGATCTTCTGAACCTCATGTGACCATGTCACGCTGGCATTTTAAAAATACACTGTTCAAGATAGTATTACTGGGAAATCCCGCGGTCATATGCCTCCCAGGCTGCTATAAGCCCACCCAGTTATAAGCCCACCCAGTTATAAGCCCACCCAGTTATAAGCCCACCCAGTTATAAGCCCACCCAGTTATAAGCCCACCCAGNAGTTATAAGCCCACCCAGTTATAAGCCCACCCAGTTATAAGCCCACCCAGTTATAAGCCCACCCAGTTATAAGCCCACCCAGTTATAAGCCCACCTAGTTATAAGCCCACCCAGTTATAAGCCCACTCAAGATATAACTGACGTTCCCCAGTTATAAGCCCATAATGCATTTTTGGTATCTCATGTTTGTTTTGTTGATGAACATAAAGCTGTTTGACTGGAAAAATAAGAAGAAACAACTAATAACTGTTTCCCCTTCATCCTAAACTCTTTTCCCCCCAGATACAAGCCCTTACAAAAATCCATACGAATGAGGTGCCTCGGGGCTTATAACCAGGATTTGACGGTATGTAAATAGCATACCTACTTCATTACTAAGAAAAAATCTTGGAAAACCTTACTATATCCAACAACACATCCCCGCTTATGTCTGGGAGAAAACCCCTCGCGCGCTATAGACTTCTCATGGAACTATCTTTCATTTATATATCAGGTGTATCATACGATGTACCATGGCTTTCTCAGAAGTAAACCAAAACTTCTTCCGCCTGTACTACGTTGTAAATGAGTTTGGAACCAAGGCCTTGAATGAGCTTCTACGTTACTTGGTACACCAAACGTTCCCATCAAGCTCTGCCTCAACCATGACGCTGAGCCAATTTCTCGCCCTTCCTCAAGTCATGAATGATTTGTTGTTTCCAGCAAGAACAAGAAATTTTCTGGACCCAATGCAGAAAGATCTCCTTTATCCCTCCGGTGCTCCGTCCATGACGTTGGATTATGGAGACCTTGACATAACATTGGTAACAAAATTACTAAAAAAACTGACTGTTTTTTCGGGGGTTTTGAAGCAACCCGGTTCATGCTCAAGCCGGACGCTTTGGACAAATCCTACAGTAAATGACCAAAGCTCTTATCCGCTTGAAGCAAACGTCGTTTTGCTTAACAACAACGAAACTCCATCGCACATTTAAAAAAGCCGTCTTTACCTACTACAGTATTTGAAGCGGATTTTGACCATGTTAAAAGTTTGGTGATGAACATCATGAGAAGGGCGGGATCAGCAGCTTTCAAAGAAGATGACATTAAAAATTACGAAGCGAGCCCTTTGTCACCCGAAAAACTCCAGGAAATGACTGCAAAATTTCTTGAAAGTTTGGAAGCGGCTGAAGACCTCAGAGATGAGGTTAGGAGTTTGATAGACGAACGAACACAGCGCACAGAAGCAAGGCTATTACACGAGATTGCGAGGTCAATGAATTTGAGTGTTTCCTCAATCATTTCTAATATTGCATCGCTTGGGATGGTGGTTTCCGCTTATTTCTGGATCGAAAAGCAAGTCCAACAGAAGATAGAAAAATATTTTGAGGAGCTAAAAGAATCTTGTGGATGCAGAAATTACGACAGTAGTCGTGATAATTTCAGAGGACGCGGATATCGATACTACCGATGACGCAGAACGAAACAGTAAAGTCAGGCCGACGTCGTACTATATGGTACTTTATTTGATTCCTGCTAATAAATGTATTTGGTGATCCAAGCGTTTGTACCATACATGTGGCTATAGCTGAAGTAAATTTGAATTTTAAAATATCGAACGTGGCCTATCAGACACGAGACGAGTCAAGATGAAACCAGGAAACCAAGCTTCATGATAGCATAAAGGTGCACACTGGAATTCGTTCTTCATGGAAAAACAAAGATGTATAAAGAATGGAAGAGAAACAGATTGACAATTTGAAAGCATTAGATGCTTAGTCATAGTCCTAGGTCGGGGCGGCCAAAGGGATCAAAATACTTGTTAGAATGCATGATAATTTTATAAGATATTCAAAAAGAAGTGCTAGCAAATCAAGTCTTTTTATTCAACGTGAAGTTGTCTTGGTATGGGAAACCTGTAGCAATTGACTGATGTACGTCCGCGGTCGTTCGCGGTAATATACAAGCTAGTCTATCTAAAGCAGAGAGATTTAAAGTCAAGTCTTAAAGTCTTGATTTTTGTATTCTTTTAGTTTTTCATTTTTCAGTTCGATCAATGTGATGTTCTTCATTGTATTTCTGTTTTACTTGGCTATTTGTCGTCTTAGTAGAGAGTAACTGTAGTAACACTTATGGACTGGGACCGACAGAAACTAGGTGTTTCTGTGCTTCATAGGATTATTAGAGATGTAACTTTTCTCATATACGTATTTTCCTTTAGGCTTTACTAACCCACGGGATTGAAGCCAGAATACTGGCGACTGAGTAGCTCTATTAATACTAATAAATATCTGAATTACAATCCTAGAAATCTTCTTTTATCGTGCTCAATTATATTACTTCTAAAGCCCGGAATTACATCCTCAGCTGCTAAGCCCATCTATAAGCCATTTATCTATGAACACGTCATTCAAATCCATATCTGGGTATTCTTGCACAAGAATGCACATTTCGCGAGAAGGGAGACTACAAAAACAAAAACAAAAACAACAACAAAGGCATTTTACGACTTGGCTGTCACAGGCAACCCAATAAAGGCAACCCAGTAAAAAGTTTTGAATTTTCACCTTTTGAATGGCCATAGATAATCTTAATGTATAGCAAAAACATGCCAAACTTCTAAAACTTGTTTCCCTCTTCTAAATGCCCTAATTTTGAGTGTTTTTTAATTTTGGAAAATCAGGAACCGTACATAGCTGGAATGGACTGGACTTCGGTTGGCTGGATCGTACGGAACGTAGACGTTTTTTTACGCCGAATTTGCATCTTCTATCCTTTGATTTTTATTTTATTATAAATAACCAGTGATTCTGTTTCGAAATTTTGTACACAGAAAAAGCAAAAATTTTTAATGTTTTTGATCGTGGCACTGGTTTGAGTCTGTGAAGCCGGTCAAGGCAAAGGTTTTTCAAAGGACTGTATACATCGTGTATATATAGGTGGATCTGTGGATCGTTACAGATTTTTACGACAAATTTTCCTCCATTAAGACGGTATTAAGATAAAATGGATGTTATTTGGATGTGACTGGAATGGATTGGTTGTGACTGAAATGGATCACAAGTTATCATATTACTTCTAAAGCCCGGAATTACATCCTTAGCTGCTAAGCCAATCTATAAAACATTTATCTATGAACACGTCATTCAAATCCATATTTGGGTACTCTTGCGCAAGAATGCACATTTCGCGAGGAGACTGCAAAAAAAAAACAACAAAGGCTGGGCTTCTTGCGACTCTTCTGACTCGGTACCAACATGCAGCTTCAGCACATCCTGCCATGCGTGTAGACACTAAGAAATTATGGATCAATAAACGAACGCTCAATAATTTCTTCCTACTTCTTTGCGGTCGTACAAACAGTTCATAACGTCCAGCGGACATACCCAAGAAATATGACTTGAAACGGAAACCCGGGATGACTTATCGAGACTATTTCCTCATGTTGTTGTCAACAATTCTATCTAAATTCTGAGGTAAGCTTTCAATGAATAAAGTAATTTTGTTAATGAATTATTTACACTTTTAATAAACTAATTTAATTTAACAAGCTATGAAGAGAAGACCGGAACGTATTGATCGTTAGTACAGTATACTTATGTCGTTATGTTGATGGCACGACTAGGCTTTCACTACCGCAGCTCAGTCTATCGATTGCAAGCACTTGAGCGAGGAAATAGGCTAAAACTAAGCATAAAAATAATGCAATGGATAGATTTTCTTGGAATACAGAATTATGACCATCTACTAACCAAGAATCTGAAGTAAAAAACCACTGTTGGAAAGTCGACTCGTAACGGCAAACGCCACTTAAAAATAAAATTTCGAATACACCGTTAACAGCCTAAATGTTTGAGCTACTATATGTGCCAAATTCAGAACTATTTGAGTGTTTTTGACGCAATAGGACCGAGCGAGTTTAAAAATTCGCTAAATACTAACTCGCAATTTACCACCTTTTCGGCGCTAGCCGTCACGTGTCATGAAGTTCGGACATTGTTCGCAAGAAAAGCTTCAATCAAGTTAGAAAAATGATATTTTGCTCGCATTCAGAAAACTAGCTAAACAAACCAAGTAAATAATTCGTTTAAAAAGTCTGGTACACTCGTAAGGAAATCCGAGAGCAATGTCCGAACTTCTTGGTGACCGTAACACAATGCTAGCGCCGAAAATGTCAATTATGTTTGAGTCACACTATACCTCATGTCACAACATTCCAAATACAGGCTGACTTGAAAACAATTTTTCATTAATTATTTTCTCATGGAACTATCTTTCAGTTATATATCAGGCGTATCATACGATGTACCATGGCTTTCTCAGAAGTAAATCAAAACTTCTTCCGCCTTTACTACGTTGTAAATGAGTTTGGAACCAAGGCCTTGAATGAGCTTCTACGTTACTTGGTACACCAAACGTTCCCATCGAGCTCTGCCTCAACCATGATGTTGAGCCAATTTCTCGCCCTTCCTCAAGTTGTAAATGATTTGTTGTTTCCAGCAAGAACAAGAAATTTTCTGGACCCAATGCAGAAAGATCTCCTTTATCCCTCCGGTGCTCCGTCCATGACGTTGGATTATGGAGACCTTGACATAACATTGGTGACAACTTTGCTAAAAAATCTGACTGTTTTTTCGGGGGTTTTGAAGCAACCTGGTTCTTGTTCAAAAACGCTTTGGACAAATCCTACAGAACATGACCAACTTTTTTATCTGCTAGAAGCAAACGTTGTTTTGCTTAAGAACAAACGAAACTCCATCGTACATTCCAATGAACCGTCTATGCCTACTGAAGAATTTGAAGCCAATTTTGATCATGTTAAAAGTTTGGTGATGAACATCATGAGAATGGCGGGATCAGTAGCGTTCAATGAAGATGACATTGAGCAATACAGAACCAGCCCTTTGTTGCCAGAAATTTTTCAGGAAACGGCTGCAAAGTTGCTTAAAAGTTTGGAAGCGACTGAAGACCTCAAATATGAAGTTAGAATATTGATAGAACAAACACAGATCAAAGAGAGGAAGACGAGAAATCGAGGTGTTATTTTGTCCTTGTTTATTGTTACTGTTGTAATTTTGGGGTTGTTGGCATCGAATAGAATAAGCGCGGATCGCGAGTTTGAAGAGGGAGTGAAATCAAGAGAAAAAATAGAAAAAGAAGTCGAGAAACTAGAGGAATCTTTAAACTTAAAATCATCAACAAACGCAAGGAGAAAAGAGTTCGAAGAGGGAGTAAAATCAAGAGAAAAAATAGAAAAAGAACTAGAGCAACTAGAGGAATCTTTAAATTCAAAATCATCAACAAACACAAAAAGAAAAGATAGAATTGGACTGGCAAGGGTACACTTAAAACGAGACAATAGTCAAGATCTTGAAACCAGGAAGCAAAAACTTCGTGATGCGATAAAAATGCAGCCTTTTATTTGTTCCTCGTGGAAGAACAAAGATGGAAAAATGAAAGAGGAAAAGATTGAGAAGTGCGTCGAGTGGCTGCTGAAAGGAAATGTTCACACCTCGTTTGTTTCTTTGTCAACATCATCACATGAATATGAACCGACTACTTTTGCTTCTACTCGGGCAACGCCAAAGGAATGGATCAAGAAAGAAGGATTTCATACAGAATATGAAGAACTAGTGAAGATACATCCTCGCAAACATAAAAAACCCTTGAAGGGAACCATCGGTTTAACGCTTAAGTCGAAGCAATTATACTTGAACGATTACGTGAAGGGAACACCCGAAATGTGTACGAATGAGATGCACAATTTGTCGAAAAATGAATTATGAAGGAATTCAAACATGTATAGATGATCATTGTGGTCTGGAACCGGTTTATACGAAGGGTGGATAGCGCTATCCGACGGATAAATCTTATCCAGTGAATAAATTTATTGGATAACAGCATCGATTTATCCACTGGATAAGGATTTAACCGTTGGATAGCGTTATCCACCCTTCGTACAACTGGGAACTGGCCAATGAGACGCGATAGATGCAAGACATCTCGGAAAGGGGGATGTACACCTCGAGCAGCGATGCAAAAATCTCGCATTCAGTTAGTAAGTCTATCTAAAGTAGAAAGATTGAAATACGAAATCACGAACTAAATTCGGTTTTTTAAAGTCATTTATTTGTTCCATTCGTTTATTTTATCATTTTACAGTTCGATTAATGTAGAGTCTTTATAATATTTCTGTTGTACTTGTTGTTTTTGGATCTAAAAGCAGCGAGAAACTCCAAAGTATAATATTCAGTATTAGTTATGACAGCCACTTCGGGATGCAACAAAGAGTGGAGCTTCAACCTCTTCATAGTTAGTGACTGTTGGGGAAAAAAACTAAGCCTTTTTTCTGGATACATAATGGCGTTTTAATCAACAGAATTGGATTTAGTTTTTCGAAAGCCATTACGCGAGAACATTCCTAGTAATCTTAACAATTTTTTGCAATTTATTATAATAAAATATATGAGCTAAGGGTGGTCTTCGTGAAGATCTTGTGACTCTTCTGACTCGGTACCAACCAGCAACTTTAGCACATCCTGCCATGCGTGTAGACACTAAAAATATATGAATGAATGAATCAGTGAACGACTGAATGCATGAGTGAGTGAGTGAATGAGTGAGTGAGTGAGTGAGTGAGTGAGTGAGTGGTGAGTGAGTGAGTGAGTGAGTGAGTGAGTGAGTGAGTGAGTGAGTGAATGGAATAACGGACGGACGGACACGAACGAACGAATGAATAATTAGCGATTCGGAATAAATGGCATGAATAAACGAATCAGTGACAAAATGAATGAATGCCAATAATTTCTGAGCACGAACTGACGAGCTTCAAGCAGGACTCACCTCTTCATGATAGGCTATGTGTCTTTCACTGTAATCTGTGATAAGTTCTCTAAAATCTTGTCTCTTGTGCTTGTGCCATCGATCGATATCAGCCTTCAGGTCAACATTTGCACACTCCATTTTGTCGAGTCCTGTTTCCACCAACTTGGAAAGCTTTGAAACAGAGTGAAAAATACTTCATTTTATGGACACACAGACAGACTAAAGACAGACAGATAAGCAAACAAACCTCTTGGAAAGCTTCGAAACAGAGTGAAAAATACTTTATTTTATGGACACACAGACAGACTAAAGACAGACAGATAAGCAAACAAACCTCTTCAATATTTGCATCCAACTTGTCCTTTCGCTCTTGCCTTGCCTGTTCAGTGTCTTTACCAAAGAGTGAACTAAATCTTCCACCTCCACCTCCATTGGGTTTTTCAAGCTGTAGAGAGGCATATCTGTTAAAATTGCACGGCTTTTTTGAGTCTGACTGGATAGGATTTCATATGAGATGAAAGTGAAACACTACATAAATTTGAACAAGACTGATGTGTTCCTTGAACACAGACTCATTTACTCATATCGGCGTAAAAATGTTTTACAATTACCAATGGTAAGGTAAAGAATGCACAACTTCAACAATACAAAGACTTTGGAAATCCACAGACCTTGTCTGGAACATGAATATTCTACACAAAAATATATAACCCTAAGCAAGAGAACGTGAAACTGGAGCATTGTTATAACGACCACTAAACTAGAGAGACTTGTGGCTTATTCTTACCTCTTCTCTCTCTGCCCTTTTTCTGTTCAATTCTTCAAGTGTCACTTCATATTCCATTTGAGTGGTATCCCGACTCTTCAGTGCACTCTAGAAATAGATAGAAAAATCCCAAATGCAGAAGGTGCTGTCAAATTTGGTAGAGTTTTCCAAATAAAATGAATAAATATCTAACCTACCTTGATAGCATCGGTGTACAAAACGTACTCTCTTAAAGGTTCCATGAACTTGGAGTCTTGAACTCTGAGCTGAGTTGGGAAACAAGAAAAAAACTAACAGATTATACTTACTGCATACATATCCTTATAAAAATAAGAGAATAAAGGGACATTAAAAAGACAATCTAGCACATCTTTTTCTTCTTTTGATTAAATACAGTGTAAGTGTGACATACCAGTTTTTTGAGAGCAGAACAGTTCTTGTCTAGAGCATCTGCCATTCCTGTGAGAGGATCTGCTAGCTTAGTCTCCGAGTTAGCCCACAGGCGAAAGATTGGAATAAATTCTATGACATCTTCTAGCAAATCTGCAAAATTCCATGAAAAAAATTATAAAAAATCCATTTTATTCAGAGAGGGTGACACATGACAGTTGCCACTGATAAACTTGTGGCTCTCTATGATTAACGTCTTCCACTATTAAATAAAAACTGCCATTTTACATGGTCATCTGAACCACTCTTATGATATCAATGGCTTCTTTGCTGCCAGCACATATAGCTAATCAAATATACGAATTCACAATTTTTACCAAAGCGGTCTTTAGCGATTTTATCAGTGATGGTTTCCATGGTGACCATCTTTTCTCTGAATGCCTTGTTGTATTCCGACATCTCTTGGAATTCTGGCTCTCTTGTTTTTAACATCCATGATGAAGCCGCATTTCGCATGGAATCACTCATACGAGATATTAAACCTGGTCCTGACTTCTTAACAGATGTAAGCTCCTATAGAATAATAATTATATAAAGATAGACTCATTTGTAAAACGCAGTTCAGGAAGATCCTGGTGTTATGCGTGATGCATAATTCAGGCTAAGACAAGTACATGATACTTGAAAATAGAAAAATGTAGAGCATTTCATGAATTCCAGGTTTACTCTGACACATGATTTTTTGCTGGAAATGATTCATTAGATTTTGTGAACAGATAAATTCAGTTAAGATTCACAATTCCTTAATGTGCCTCAAATTATATGCGAGGCTTGAATTTTAAAGATGCATTACCACTATTTTCATTGCTATGCGCTCATTGAGACATTGGGCAATATGCTTCTGTCAATCAAAAAATTGGTTGGTGCCTTTATATTCTCTGATTGGTGGCAGTGTATTGCACTATTTCCCTGTTGCGACTACTTGTATCGATCAGTGTGTAGCAGTGAAAAGAGTGGTAAACAAAATCTTGACACCCCCACATGCTATGTGATAATTATAGAAGCTGTAGATAAAGCGATTTTGTATTTTCTTCTTACCCATGACTTAGCAGTTAAAAACACATGTAGGCTGTCATTAAATGACATAACTGGATGATCTGCTATCCGCTGCATGAACTTGTTCAAAGAATTTTCTCTTGCTTTAAGAAACTCCTGCGAAAATCTGTCAAAGTGCTTTGAGAAGGAGTGCTTTTCAGGTAATGGCTTCAAAGGGAAAAGAAGAAAAAACAAGCATATAAGTTGAAAAGCTAGAATATATTTTTCAAACAGCAGCCAGGAGTGCCTTTCTAGGTACAGTGGAACCCTGTTAAAAAGGACACCATTGGGATGGACAAAACTGTCCTTATTAACGTGGTGTCCCTATTAACCGAGGTGTCAGAAAAACAGCTGAAAACATATTTTTAACCATTTATTTTTACTGTACTGTAAACCCCTCTTGAAATGGATCTGGGTCTGTCATTGCAGTGTTCTACAACTTACAGGAATAATATGTGTTGGGTAGGATTCCAGTAATCTCTGTCTCAGCCATAAAAAGTCTTGATATCTTCTTCTGACGTTATACTCTGGATGATCAAACTGACCTCTGGTTGTCTAGAAGAAACAGTAACAAATCTTTAATAAAGGTGACTAGGAGACCTCAATTTTGGTCATTCCAGTCAATTAAAGCTGTATGAACCTGATGTTTTATTTATAGTGTGCAAACTGAGAATAGTAGTAAAAAATGTAGCCGACATTTGATCAATTTCTAAATACAGATTCAAATTTTAAACTGGTAATGCATTCTTGACTCTAAGTTGGGTTAACAAGAAGGGAATTCTTCTGTGGGGTCATATTATCTTGAACCTCTAAGAAACTAGAAAACAGTTCAAAATAATTGGGGTTTAAAGATATCCATGGTAAAATTGTAGTTATGCAAAGTTATGTTTGAGATACCTGGAGTTTAAAATAATAGACTCCACTGTATAATCACTGTTTAGCATATACCTTAGTGTTGACGTTATAGCTGACATAACCTTCTACATGTTTTTCTGGATCAGTCACTAAGACATACAGATCCTTCACAAGATGTCTGCTGTCATCATCATCATCATCATGAACCTTGAGTGATGACATCAAAGATGATGACTCTCCATTGAAATCAAAGCTTGTTTCCTTGTTGAAACCTGAATGACCCACTGCAGCATCCCCCTATCGTTATAGCAACATGTATCAATATAATACATAATTTGATTAATTGGTTGAAAGCCGTTTATCAATTATTCAGGTTTAATTAAACACATGTGAACAGATATTCACATTTTTAAATTAATTCATAAGTTCTTTTTTCTGACATTTCTTTAGCGAAATTCCCTTTTTGAAAAAAGAAAAACAAAGTCCTTTTCTTTAAGTCTACATGTAAAGCTTTGTAATAAATTATGCCTCAAACGAAGATATAAAAATATTAAATTTCAAATTAAAGAAGAATTTAGTTAAATACTTTAAATGAGCGATAAACATCTAGAACTCAAGCGCATAAACTTATCAGATCTGAAGTCAAATTTTAGACTCTTGTCTACGTGTCTCTCAGGATTCAATTTCAAATTATACTTTGCTTAGTCTTACATTTTCCTCTTAATTAATTCAATATTACTATTAATTCCTAAGTTAAATTGTAAGACGGCTGTTTTAAAAAATAACCGCATAATCTCTAGCTTTAAGAGTTGGTTTAAAGAAGCAATAATTTCTTTTAAAATGACTTAAAGATAACTATATTCCTCTGATCAAATACTAAATATAGCGTCTGAAGGACACTTCGCTTTTTAGTTGTGATATAAAAGCACAACTAGATGTTGAAAAATATGATTTTAAAATACACCGATATAAAGAATAGACTAATATGTAAATATATGTTTACCTCGTTCAAAGATCCATCCAAAGATTCATCAGGAATAACCTTATTATCATCTGAAGACGAAGGAAAGTCAAGATCTTCTAGAGGATCCGCCATGTTGATTACGTTCTAATATATCAAGATCGATATTCACTCGGCATTCGTAGTCATCCCAAAATAAATTTTCGGATTCGGATACTTTTCGGATTATTATCGATGACGAGATTTTAACGGATGGTTAACGAGGGCAAATCGGATATAATATGTCTGTCAGCAGCTGTTACGTTTTCTTTCGCTTCAGTTCCACTAAAAAAAGGCAGTTTTCGGCTTTGAAAAAATAGTGTGTATACTGAAGCGATTTAGAATGGAAGAATCTCATCTACTCGTTCTGGGTCCTGAAGGTGCAGGTAAAACTTTAATGCTCAAAAGACTACAGACGATTTCTTCCCAAATGAGTCTACCGCAAGCTCAAAGACGACATGATTTGGGAGAAGCACCTCCGACTATTCCTACTGTTGGAGTAAATCTCGTTACCATTAATTTATACAGGAAGAAATACACGTTTAGAGAGCTTGGAGGAGCTATGGGTCCTATTTGGTCCAAGTATTTCAAAGATGCAAATCTGCTTGTATTTATAATCGACACCGCAAACAGAACCAAGATCTCCTCGTCTTGTATTCAACTTCTCGATGTTCTCTCGTCCAAACAGACTATCAACATGCCTGTTGCTTTGATATTTAACAAAGTAGATAGTCCAAGTTGTATGCCCATGGCAGAATTACTGACCATCCTTCGCTTGAATGACATTATTTTGTGCGCTAAGCATGACATTACAATCATCGAATCCAGCTTCCGCACAGGACAGGGTATAGATGAGATTATGAAGTGGCTCAAGCTTAAAGGGCCACTTGGACGAAAAT